TGGCCAACGCCCTCCCTACGATGGGTTTTCGACCTGGACAGTATCCCCAAAACACTCACCAACGCATGAATCCCGCAGGGTCTCCACCTATGATGCAGCACATGTCACAGTTTCCTGGTCATCCGCCGCTTCAAGTCGCAGGCCAGAGTTACTACTTACAGCCACAGGTGGCACCATACTATGGAAATCAGATGCAGCAAGCTCAGGCGGCAAACATGATGTCTCAGAGACAGAGCATGGCATTCTATCCTAACCAGATGATGATGGGCTCACAGCAATCTGCCTATTACTATCCCCCTGGACCCCAGTATCAACCTGCAGCGCATCCAGTTCCGAACGGCGCGGTATCTGGTCACCATGCCGGTGGTGGTTCAACAACCGGCGACCCAAGGGCGATGGCACAGACTGCAGACTTTGGTGGAATACATCCACAGGGGCTTAAGCAGGGGCAAGGTAGGACTGGGAAGCAATCTCCCAACAAAAGTGAGCTAAAGCAAACCTCAGATGGGACAGAGAGGCGAAAGAGTGCTGTTCGTGGCCCTCCCAGAAAGCCGCGACAGAGTGGTAAGCTAACTTACCTCGATGACCGTCATGTTGGCTAAACTCCTGAATCAGGACACGCAATCTGGATTGGCAACCTTCCTCCACAAACCGACCTTATGAGCCTCGTTCATCATGTATGCAAAGAGACTATAGGGCTGGAATCACTGTTTCTCATTTCCAAGAGCAACTGCGCATTTGCCAATTTTAAGGATGAGGAAACTTGCAGTGCAGCACAACAGAAGTTACACGATTCGAAGTTTCAGTCAGTTCGCCTCGTCAGCCGGCTACGCAAGAGCACAGTGGAGGGTGCAGCCGGTGTAACAGCCCCTACTGGTCCTTCGGTGGCTACAACAGTAGTGAAGACGGATCAAGTGGCAGACAATTCGCCAGCTCAAAGCGTAATCCCAAGCCCAGCGTCTGAACCATCAGGTGCCATCAAGCCTGGGGTTAACGGCGAGAAGATACCTCAGAAGGACAAGTTCTTCATTCTCAAGAGCCTGACAGTGGAAGACCTCGAACTGAGTGTTAGCACGGGCATCTGGGCTACTCAATCCCACAACGAAGAGGCATTGAACAATGCCTTCAAGGTACGTTGGTCTTTGCACAATACCCTTGAGCCACCTGTCAACTAATGTTTTCTAACAGGACGCTGACAGCGTATACTTGATCTTCTCAGCCAACAAATCAGGAGAATATTATGGGTATGCTAGGATGATATCGCAGATCAACGAAGACCCCGCGGCAGCCATCGAATTTGCGCCCACAGCTCAGGCAACAAGCGGCTTTGACCTCCCAAAAGCCATACCGACCGAAGCGAACGAACAAGCTCCCAAGGGGCGCATTATTGACGACTCAGCAAGAGGCACTATCTTCTGGGAAGCAGACCGTGATGATGCGGATGCCGTGTCTGATGCGGAAAGCGAAGCATCAAGCACCAAGAGCAATGCAGGGGAGGAGGGTGCTGCTAAGACGTGGGGAAAGCCTTTCAAATTGGAGTGGCTATCCACAAGTCGACTGCCATTTTACCGCACGAGAGGACTGCGCAATCCTTGGAACTCAAACCGCGAAGTAAAAATTGCTCGAGATGGCACTGAACTAGAGCCTTCAGTTGGACGAAGACTTATTGGGCTCTTCAACCGCGCGCAGAACCCAGAGGCAGTCGACGCCGACGTGCGGGCTTCCATGGTCATGATGCAGGGCTTCGGGCCAATGCGGCCATATGGACAATGAGAGGCGGAAGGGATTTGAGACGGGTTCTCGAAGCGATACTCTTGCTACTCAAGTGCTTTAATGCTCTTGGAAGTACACTTGCCGAGAAGATAATTCAAAGATACTGGAATACGGTTTGGGATCTATGCTGGACATAGTTGACATATTCACCACGAGCAAGGGTCATCAACGGCGGTTGCAAATGTAACTACACATCAGTTTTACGTCTCATGATTGTATCTATTCAAGTTTTCGAAGTATTTCTGGCTTTGATGGTGATATGGTTCTTAATTGCCATTTTTTGACTGGTATTTAGAGGTAGCTGCAGAGCTGGCAAGCTAGCTGCAAATCATATCATGGATCTGCTACTAACGTCAAACTTGATCAAGCTGACAGATCGTCTCGGTTGCTCAGGTACCAAGTGGCAACGGAAAACACAGATATACAAGATTCCGTTCAAGCCCGTCGGCGGGTCACAATTAAATTTGATGTCCGAATTCCATCGGACATCATTACAGTATGGGGTTTTCAGTGAATTGATGAGTCAAATAGGTACTTGGCTCAGATAATGATGAGCTGAGGTTGAGGAAAATGTAAGTCTACGGGGGGTGATTAGAATGGGAATCAGATAAAACTGAGAGTTTAGTACCTGGTACCTCAAACGTAGCGCTAACGCACGCGCAAGGAGGTGACAAGTTGACTTTCAGCCACTGGAGATTTGGTCTTTTTTTACCTAAAGGAGCTGAGGTTTCTGGGGTACCTTAGCTGCACATGGATGTGGTCCAAAGAGCGTCATACTACGTCATAGGTCTAGACCCTTCTTCCTTCTCCAAATGCCGAGCCCCACATTGATGTTGGATTCATGGAGATGAAAGTGGTGATCTAGGTGGTCATTATCTTTAACAGAACAAATCAAGTAAGGCTAAGCCACAATGAATCATTAGTATACCATCGAAACAATCGATCAATCAATCCCTTTTGCCTCTGTTTAATTATCACTAATTACGTCATCTGTCAATGCCAACTTACCATCCATGTCAGCAAAGCTCCGGATATGAACCCTGGGTTTGCCTAGAATATCCAAGAAGCGTGGCATTTTCTTGTCCGTTATCCTTCTTGACGAATTCGAGATCAATTATGAGATAGCTTGAACTAGCATTCTTGCTTAACAGTTGAGTTGGTCATATTGTGAGTCTCTACCTCTAAGTATATTGCTCTATACTTTCATTATGATCATCTACGATATTCTAGTTCTATTACCTTATTACCTTATAAGGCCTTTAACTCATAAACCGTTTGCTGACTTAAGATAATAGGGTTTGAATCACGATTGAACTTCACGAACCTCCAAGCCGTTGCAACGATCTGCTACCGGGCGTTAGCCTTCCCTTACCGAGCGGTACACCTTTCCGAAAGATGCATGCAATGAACCTACGATATACCAGACCTCTCTCTCCTGGTCTGCGAAAACGTATCGATGCCCATTAGCCACTGTGCTCACATGGGGTACGATGCAGATGTCCACTTCGGTGTTTTCCAACATCTTCTCTACGTAGCCTCGTCTCTGGTGGTAACTCTTGAAGGATGTTCACTACTGGCTCCTTCACTAGTCACCCTCGCACTGCTCAAGCTAAGACTAGTGTCTTATCATCTCATTCCGTCGTCTTCGAGGCATAGATACGGGATGTCGTCGCCGTATCGAGGATGATGCCTTCTGGCTCCTAGTGACCCAAGTCGGTGCCACTTCGTTGAATCCCGGTGGTTGTTCTCCGACAAAATCTTTCTTCATCTGATCACATACTCAATTCAACTGCTTCTACGGGTTTCAGAGCACAGAAATGCTAATTGATTCGCAGCAGCTCATGTCCAGATTGGAGTGAAAGTATGGCCTTTGGTGATAATCACTGATCAGTACTTCATCATCGACAGATTACAGGTCACAAATTTGTGCCTTATGAACTTGAACCTCCATCCTTAATCCACTATCTTGGAATAACAAGGTTTTTCGGTATCATACATCTCCGACTCTTTCCGCGAATGCATGATCGTATGAATGGTGAGTATGTTTCTTTACTTCTTCAACAACGCCTCTTGGCCTCTACCGTCTTTTGTTATAGATCAGACAACGGCAATATTCAACCAATCACTAAGGTAGCTAGTAGAAGTCTGCTCGGTACAGAGTGTTTCCCGAACTACTGCTGTGGCCCTGCCTGTCGTTGTTGGTTCGATTCAGGGTAGTTTCCGTTTCGAGTATCCGTCTGTTACCGAAGCCAATAAAAGCATAATTCTTAGCTCCCTATGTGTATTAAGTTCACTACGTTGGCAATGATATTAGCATATCCTGCATTTGCTAAGTGGTACTCACGGCAGGGGCTGTGTAGATCTCGATTTTGAGGCCGTATACTGGTTTGAAATAAGCTGTCTGTACAGAGAAAATACAACGTAATGCAGGTGCATCTCGATGACTCTTGTATTTCATACTCAAAATCAGATAAATCGAATAAAAGCTCCATTTTTGTATCACATCTGAGAACATATTTTGCTATTTGAAGATTGTGGCTGCTTTGAACCTCTACTTGGTTCTACTTTTCTACGGCGGAGTTTCATATAACTGTTGGTACTTTCATAAATCGGTTCATTACAACAACAAAACGAAAGGTCTTAAGTAAACCAACGAAGATGAAGACAAATATATTGCCAAGTATACTTTAAATTTTTTAATTTTTTTTTTTAATTTTTATATATATATATTTTTTTTTAAGATAGAGTAAATTGGATACTGAACTTCAGTCACCATATCCGTTCTGCCGTTTAAGGGATGTAGCTGGGTATAGGGTAACCAGACATGAAATCGTGTGCATATTATGTCAGCATTGTTGACGCATGGACCACCTTCTCCAGACATTCCATTGTTTATCCTCGATTATCCATGGAACAGATAAATGATCAGCATAAAGCCTCAATCACTTCATTAGCTTACTCAGAGTCGGAGAATGATCGTGATATCTGATCCGATGACCAGAAATTTCCGTGGTTGTCACAAGTCAAGGTCTACACTGCAGCTGCTGTATCAAGTTCCCGAATTGGCTGGAAGCTTCCACCATGATCCACCACTGTCCAGCAGCTTCATGTAACCACGAGCAGCCAACAGACTCGCGATGCCACCTAATTTCGTACGATTTTGATGTAAACGCTACGTAGTAGACCTCGCTTAAGGCTTGCCAACGCTTCCACGGCCCTCTTCTGCAGTCGTGCGATTTCTAGAACCTCCAAGTGGTAGGTTTCATCGACCTTTGGCGAAAGGTAAGGAAACTCCCATCTCGATCTCATCTTCCTCATCAATGGGTATAAAGCAAGGCTCCTCTCCCCCCAAAGCTGGACTTCATTCTTCATCAGAACACACACAAGCAAGCAAACACAAGCAAGCAACTCTACAACAACTACAACCACTACTTTACAACTCTCTTCTTTGCACACTTGCAAACAACGCTTTCTCATACACACTCTTATTAAACACATCACCAACACAAACACAATGGCTTTCTTCCCTCGCAACTTCTACAACTCCGATGCTTCCTTTACTCCCCTCTTCCGTCTCCTCGACGACTTCGATAGCTACTCTCGTCAGGGACAACAGAACGGTGGTACTCGCCGAAGCGGCCTCACCCACTGGCAGCCCAAGTTCGATGTCCGCGAGACTGGCGAAGCCTACGAGCTCCACGGAGAGCTCCCTGGCATGACAAAGGAGAACGTTCACATTGAATTCACTGAGCCTCAGACCATGACCATCCGCGGCAAGACTGAGCGCACATACACTGCCGGCACCCCTCCCGCTGGCCTCGTCGAGGGCTCTCAGTCCCAAGGCGCCATTGCCGAGGGCGAGGGCAACGACGAAAACAAGAACTCTCACCACGCTAAAGTCGAGGATGAGGCCGAGGCCAAGGCCCACGAGAGCACCGAAGTCACCCACCACCAACAGTCCAAGGAGGTCGAGAAGAAGCCCGGTGATCAGTCCAAGTACTGGCTCACCGAGCGCACCTTCGGCGAGTTCTCTCGCAGCTTCAACTTCCCCACTCGTGTCGACCAGGACAACGTCTCTGCCAAGTTTAAGGACGGTATCCTGAGCATTGTTGTTCCCAAGGCCAAGAAGCACGAGTCTCGCCGCATCAACGTCGAGTAAACACGACAGCACACCACAGCTGGAATCTTGATGACATTATTACCCAGGTCTCAGATTTCACGACAAGTCAAGATCAGTAACGACTCATCTTTACGACTTTATGCATTGCATGAATCGGTGTTTTGGAAGTTTCTTAGCATGAAATAGCATTGTAGGCCTGACTTGGCCATTCGCTCCTTGTACAATAGCAACTAATAATTCAATTGCATTTAACAAACAACTCCAAGTATATTTGTGAATAACCAAGTGACATGTTTCCACAATCCATTGTTTGCCTGTGACCATATTGCGAAATCCGCCAAGTTATTCACGTCTTGACACTGCAATGGTATTAATTATAGCTCAATTACCTTCTATACGTACCTACTAAATACACCTTTAAGTCAGTGAAGTAGATACGGAGCTCAAGGGCAGCAAATGAACAAAATCTTGCTGTCAGACAATCAATTTAGATTATAAGTTTATGATCCCGCATCAATCCGTTGAAGAAATAAGTCTGCCTTAACGCGATCGAACGTTCCATCGAGGGAAGGCAATAAAACTTAGGGCCTATACTAAGCGACAAAAAGATTTAGATAAGCTTAGGATAACTTAGTAGGCCATTAGACTGACTATTTTTTGACACCGTTATTCAGAGGCCTATTAATTCCATGTACCAATTAAAGTGGACCGTCATGCAATTACCAGTCGATGGCACGTGATTTGGCGTAGGAAGGTGGCGCTGTTGCCTCCTGGGACGCGTCCCGCCGCGCTTTCCTCCAATTCTGTTCTCCTTCTGTTGCCTCATTTCTTGCAAATTTGCAGTTCACAGTGCAGTCTGTGACCACTTCTTCACTGATACAATCAAAAAGAGGAACTCGAAAATCACAATGAGCCAGGAGTATGATGAGGCTCAGATGGGCGAAGAGGGCGGTATGCCTGGCCCTGGTGCTCCAACGCCACTATCCGCGCTCGAGGTAAGCTTCTGTCGAAGCGCAATTGCGATAACGGCTGACGCTGAAGCTTGCAGGGAATTGCTGGCTTGACGAAGCGAGATATTCAGCTTGTCATTGACGGAGGCTACAACACAGTTGAGTCAGTGGCCTACACGCCGCGACGAGTGCTGGAACAGATCAAGGGTATCTCGGAGCAGAAGGCGACCAAGATTCTGGGAGAGGGTAAGTGACTCACGAATCGGAGCTATCGAAAAAATTACTGATGGTAGCGCAGCCTCCAAGCTCGTCCCGATGGGTTTTACTACAGCCACAGAGATGCACCAGCGTCGCAGCGAGCTCATTTCTATTACCACTGGATCCAAGAACCTCGATACTCTTCTTGCTGGTGGTATTGAAACAGGTTCGGTTACTGAACTGTTCGGTGAATTCAGAACCGGAAAGAGCCAGATCTGCCACACACTCGCTGTGACTTGTCAATTGCCATTTGATATGGGTGGTGGTGAAGGAAAATGCATGTACATCGACACCGAGGGTACATTCCGACCTGTTCGTCTGCTAGGCGTTGCCAACCGATTTGGCCTTTCTGGCGAGGAGGTCTTGGACAATGTTGCATACGCACGCGCTTACAACTCTGATCATCAGCTTCAATTACTCAACCAGGCTGCGGCTATGATGTGTGAGACACGATTCTCTCTGCTCATCGTCGACAGTGCAACATCGCTCTACCGAACAGACTTTTGCGGTCGTGGTGAGCTCTCGAACCGACAGACTCACTTGGCCAAGTTCATGAGGACACTTCAGCGTCTGGCGGATGAATTTGGTATCGCAGTTGTCATTACAAATCAAGTCGTGGCTCAGGTCGACGGTGGCCCAAGTGCCATGTTCAACCCCGATCCAAAGAAGCCTATCGGTGGTAACATTATCGCCCACGCCAGCACGACGAGAATCAGTCTGAAGAAGGGTCGTGGGGAGACACGTATTGCCAAGATTTACGATAGCCCATGCCTGCCAGAAAGTGATACTCTGTTTGCCATTGGCGAGGAGGGTATCGGCGACCCAGCACCAAAGGATATGGAGAAGGATTAGACGACAACTGATGACCTTGTGTGTTTGTACGAGCACTGGAGTATATGGTGATGATTCTTGGCATGATTGCTGGCGCATATTTTAATGGTTGCTTCATGTGTTATTTTTGCGATGGATGTTACCTAAATGTCAGGGTAGGGTGGTTGGGATGACTAGCTGGAATTCCCTTCAATGAAAACGTGTTTCTTTCGGAGAAATTAGTCTCAAAGAAAGAGATTAAAGCCAACATATAATTAACCAACTTTGATGCACTTTTATAATTTTGATGCATCTTTTCTAACGTTGATATATCTTTTCTATGTCAAGCTGGCTTTCAGTGACCAATAGCTGGTTACCTATTTGGGTTAGCGTGGTTCGCGACCAATCCGCCAGAATTTCTGGATGCAACGCGATCTCGTTGTTATCCATCACATCAAACTCAGCGCCCAGTACTCGAACCCATCTCGTTACGACCGACTCGATTTATGGGGGCGAAATGGAAGGCGATACACAATATCTCTTTAAAGAGACAAGAGTGAACCTTGATCCCCCTACTTCATCTTCTATTGTCACGATCCGAGTACCCTCGAATTCAATACAGAGCCGTAATTATCGCAAACCGGCGCGAGAGAACACTGCAGAAGATGAGACGACATTTCGAACGAAGAATTTAGCGACTGCTTCTTCCGTCTACCACCGAATTTGGCATGACACACCGCGTAGTTTCCTGTGGCGGATCTTGGAGGACGGCACACTCCTCAGCATTCGGGCTGTTGATGTTTGCAAGAAGACACAAGCAACCGATTCGCCGCTGGTCTTGAACTTCAACTTTTCAGTACCTATTCAGCCAGGATGCGTCACGTTTTCGGACCCCGAAGAGCACGATTCCCTTTGTGTTTTTGTTCTCGACCAAGCATATCAGCTGTACAGCTTCACGCTCCGACCAGATTTGTTCAGGAAGAGATCGGCCGTCGATGCTGGGCTTTCTGACCTCGGCAAGGTCCAAGCGCCGGCAGGATTGGGGTTCAAGCATCCTCATCGCATGATTGCTGTGAACGCGGAGACACTACTGATTACGGTCAACGATGGAGGAATGATCAGGCTTGACAAGAACAAAGCGCACGAACGTGAGTACTATTGGACTAGTGATATCAAAATATGCTAATGCTAATCTTTACAGCATCATCACTTGTCTGGAAGGAATCTTTCTTCAATGTTCAGGGATGGGCGCAGAACCTCCGAAGCCTTCTTCCTTTCCAAGGAAAACACACAATCAAGCACGGCAAGATCAATATGGAATACAGCTCAACTACGTCGATTCAGATCACAAGTTTTGGAATGGATGATAGTCTCTTTGCGATCACAGTCTGTCTCGATCATAGAATGCGAATTTGGAACATTAACGATGGCCAAATTCTTTATACAAGCGATATCCTCAATGCTGAGAGGAATCCTCAAGAGATTGGAAAGTGGGCTATTGACCCATCACAGACAAACCTAGTACAGATTGTTGGAAGGGGCCGCAGTAGTAGGATTTGTGCAACCTTCTCTCCCATCGGCGCTGGAGAGTTTAAGTTCTGGAAGATCACCGCAAAGGATGCGCATACCGTCATCGTCGAAGACATCTTCCCCAATAACGCCTTGGTCCCAGTGACGCCATCATCCTCTGATGTGTGGACACTCGCTGATTTCGCTCTATCTTGTCCTGCAGAGAGCGATATTCAACTCTGGACCCTGTGGAAGAACAACATGACGTATAGGGTGCAAAGGCTCGAAGTGGATCGTAAGAATATCTCACAGAGCTGGGAGGAGAACTGGGATGGCGTCTACGCAGATAACCTTATACTGGGCGCAGACGCTTCTGGCCCTTGTGACCCTACTGATGTCACAGAGAAGTGGCTCCAGCTTATCCTAAAGCCTGGCCAATTTACGAAATCGACCCTAGAGGCAGCACTATCGATTTACGAGCGAGGCTTCGGAAAGACAAAGGAGACCGCTGCCAAGGGTCGAGGACTGGCAGAGTCGATCTGCTCGATATTAGGGGCTGCTGCAACACTAGATCGAGGCTCTTCGGGCGCTATGGAGTATGAATCCTTCCGCGCTTCCAGTGAGGCCCAGTGGTTGAGGTTCTACCGCCTGTTGCTCGAATTAGATAAGCAACGAGGAGAAGCACTTGGGCTGACGCTTGACCCCCACACAGGAATGACTTGGGTTGTCTGCGCCGACTTCCTTTCAGCCATTCGCGAGTGCAGTAGCTTAGAGCGACTGTACTATAACCTTTCTTCTCCTGAGGAAGATCATGTTGCACAAGCGGCTCTAGTCGATACGGCTTTGAACTTCGTTGATGGGTTCCCTGATCACCTATTGCAGCTCTGCCAGGCTACGCTACGACCTGAGCTGTTTGAGGATTCGTCCAAGACCGACCTCGAGCGCATCCAATATTTCTCCGACAAGTCTGGGTTTTGGCGAGGAATCACTGATGATGACTGTAACCAAGTTGTCGATGTTCTCGGCCAAAACTTTAACACAGTGACAGACGAGCTTTACGCCGATGTGATGAATCTCATCTCTGCGCCGGAGGAAGCCAAGTCACGGAACTTACGCCACCCACTCACCGACTTTGGCCGGAAACTGGTGGTCAAAGCCGTTCAAGACAGTATTGAGTTGCAGTGGAAGGTCTGCTTCAGCCAGTTGATTCTTCTCGTCCACATGGAGTTTGAGTTCGACAATGAGGCAGATATTCTTCACAATCGCGTTGATATTGGCAACGTATTCAGGCAGCTCGTTGCGGCCCTACGACGTTTGGAGCTGTTGAAGTGGCTCGCCCAGACAGAAATCTCAGTGCCCAGCACCCGAGACAAGAGTGAGAGCGGAGCTGTGAAGAAGAGCTCCGAGGATGCTCAACTCGTAACGGCACTGGAGGCGCATGTTGGTCACCTGCTTGGTTTTGCGAACCAGAGCGAACCCCTGGCTACCAATGTCACAGATCTCGTCACCAACTTGTGTGCTCCGGACAGCGATATTGAGATTTCCCCACCGCTTGTTCAATGCTCTCTCATCAAACGAGAGAGGGCTGATTTGGCATTGGATCTTGCGCCTTTCTGCGACCAAAACCCCTTCTCCACATATGTTCAGGGCCGTTTGCAGCTGGCGTTGAAGGACTTTAATACCGCTGCGATTTTCTTCAGAAGAGCAGCCATTGGAATGAGTAAGTCTTTTCGCATTCGTTATTGGTCTTTACTAACAGATAGCTAGGCGCTGGGAATGCCGGAAGTGACCGCCATAGTAGCGGTTTGCTTGATGACACAGAGTGGAATCTCATGTACCAAGGCCTTGCAAAGTACTATTCACATATTGTTGCTTTGTTCGAGAAGCAGAAGGCCTACTCTTATGTGGTCGATTTCGCCCGCCTGGCTATGCAGTTCCTGGGTACCAAGCAGGACGCTATGTTTACCAAGACTGACATGCAAAGCCGATTGTTCAACGCTGCAGTAGCGACATCGCAATTTGAGCTTGCACACACAACATTGGTCTCGATTAAGGACCAAGCCATGAAGATCTCAAATCTGCGCAAGTTGATCGACAGAATGTGTGCGACTTATCACAACAATGAGCTCGTTGCTCTCCCCTTCCCCGGTCTACAACAGGAAGTTGACGATATCCTGGCACAGAAGACCAAGGCATCATTGGATGTTATGGAAGGATTCCCCTACCACCAAGTCCTCTACTCATGGCGTATTAAGCACAACAACTACCGTGGTGCCGCATCGGTGGTACTGGACCGAATCCACAAGTTGCAAAGCGCCGGAGAGGGAGATGAGGCAACGGGAGAAGATATCCTCGATACACCAGTGACAAGGCAATACCTCCTGCTTATCAATGCTCTCAGCTGTGTGGAACCCAAGCAGGCTTGGATCTATGATGAGGCCTCGGCTGGCTTTGGACAGAAAGATGCAGTAAAGCGCAAGGTGGTGTCATTGGCGGATATTCGCAAGCAGTATCAGGATGAGCTGGATCGAATCGCAGCGATTCACAACAACCAATTTGGCTTTGAGGCGGACGACGTTATGGAAATTGTATGAATGCAGAAATAGGACAGGTCACTTAATGTAGACTAGAGGTGTATTGTTTCAAAACTCGGACGGGCGAGATACCTAGGACATATTATCGGGACTGTTTACGGTGTATGCATTAATTTGATTTGCGGATGGTTTGTTTTAGAAAGGAAACAAAAACTAGAAATCTTCCATCCTCTTACTCTTCCAGCCTTGAAACCCGAAACGCCATGACCCGATGCTTAAAGGACGCGCATGAAGTTGACAGTGTATGTACATCAGACCAACAGCCAGGTTCTTCTACTTTATCTTCATGCCTGTGCAGCAGCCAACTTGTTCTCTGGAGGCGCAGGTAGTGATGAGGTACCGGCATTTAGAACAGGTGCGGCGTCAGGAGCTTGGCGGTAAAGAATAATCTCAGATTGCTTGAAGTATCGTCGAGCATCTGTGAATGTTGTTAGTTGAGTGGTTGAGGCATGAGATTTGGCGGGGCTTGACTGACCTTCGTCGATGAGAACTAAGCTGAGGTAATAACGCGTAGAGAACTTCTTGTTTACGTCGCGGAATGTAGGTGTTAGATCAAAACCGCCGAGGAACAGTCGGATAGGAATTGTCTCTCCTCGCGATGGGGAACCGTCCATGATCTCAAAGCGCACCAAGGTTTCACTCTCATTATACTGGTTGGGAGCAGCGCCCGTCGTCTCTCTTCTGATGATAGACAGCTCCATGTGCTTGATCTTTAGGCGTACGAGCAAGAAGTAGATCCGCCCGACAATGACATCCTTGAGATGGTACTTGCTCTTGCTGTACTCGAACTCAATGTGTAGACAGTCCTCGATACCAACATCCATCTTAATGCTGCTGTTCATCTCAGGGGGGATGCGATAGCTGTAGACCCATATGTCCTTTTCACGGATGACATCGGCCATGCGGCGTGAAACGGTGACGCGGACGAAGTAGCGCAGCTTAACGTTGATGCCATTGTATGATTCGTACTGCTTCTCGACGTTCTTGAAGTTGAAGTCGAATGTCTGTGGGTGCTGAAGCTCGCCAGGCGCAGCGAGTTCTTGGTTGAGTGAGAGAAATTCGTAGTGGTTGCCGCGATCGAAGAACATTTCTTTGCGACAAGTCAGTAACTGGAGTAGCTTGCCAAGCGCATGAGGGCCTCAGGGAGGCATTGCGATGTATATGGGTCGCGAACCTATCGTGCCGATGAACTGGACCTTGATACCAGTATGCTCGAGCCTCTTCCCATCCTTTGGACGAACAGTGACAGCGCCCTTGACAGACTCGCCATCCATAAAGAGAGGGGCCTTCTCGCGACGGTTCTTGTCGAGCTTGACATCGACCATAGAACGCTCATCTGTATCGTCGAGGACAACGTCGATATCGACGGGAGTCGCGAAGAAGTACGACATGACGGGCGAGTTGTGTATGTTCGCTGCCTCTTGCCCCTGGTGCTTTGTTGATAAGTGAGATGAGGCTAAGGCTGGCGCAAGCTTCGTGATAGTGGAATGGCTGGGGTGAGCTTGACGGAGCTGGTGAGGACGTCAGCGCTCGGGGAGACAGGGGACCGATGAGGACCCACCGAGCTTGCCTTCAAGCAGGCCGAATGAGTTGACAAGATATGGGATGTCAGAGTTCAACTATATGAATATGGACAAGAAAGGAACAAAGGTATTATTCAGGCTGATAATTTTTGCCTTTATTACAGTTTTAGTATTTTTTCCTCCCATAATTACTGATCTTCTGCGTATAGAACTGGTGTTCTTCATAAAGTCCAACAATCAATAGTTCTAATTGGCTCACAGTTTCAATCGTGAACCGTTGGTATAGTCTGATCACGTGCATAGTCACGCCTTTTCTGTGGATACCTCCTGGATTCCCCCTCACGTGGATAGAGTAAGCCCTATCACACCTAGAAGTTTTCCCACAACAATTCTTCGCGTTGTGTTCTGTCGATACCCTCAACACCCGATAACAATACCTCACAGCCGGCAGGATGAAGTACATTCATTCCCAGGAGCTCCTTGAGATCCCCGAGGGGGGTACGTTGCGCCCTATTTCATTTTCAACTCTGATTTCCTCGTCGTCGCTCGAATATTTGGTATCGGTCCCCTCGAAAAAATGTTACTAGAGTGATTCGCAATTGGAAGCTGCACAAGAACACCAACATTAAACTGCGCTCACAATGGAAACTCTGGTACTTTCTGAGGGGATCACCCACGAGCGTCGAAAGGTGAATCTCTAAGTCATAAGACGCAAAAGCTGACTCGCTTTCTTTATAGTCAAGGTCAGCATTAAGTCGCGAATTGTCACCGTTGAGGGTCCCCGCGGCAAGCTGGTCAAGGATCTCAGCCACCTGGCCGTCAACTTCACCGTCCCCAAGAAGAACCAGATCTCCATCGAGATTCACCACGGAGTCCGCAAGAATGTCGCTACCCTCCGAACTGTACGAACCCACATCAACAACCTGATCATTGGTGTCACAAAGGGTTTCAAGTACAAGATGCGATACGTCTACGCCCATTTCCCCATCAACGTCAACGTTACCAAGAACGCCGAGACCGACCTGTACGAGGTTGAGATCCGAAACTTCATCGGCGAGAAGCTCGTCCGCCGAATTGTCATGCAGCCTGGTGTCGATGTTGAGGCTTCCACCACCCAGAAGGATGAGCTCGTCCTCTCTGGTAACTCTGTGGAGAACGTGTCGCAAAGTGCCGCCGATATCCAGCAGATCTGCCGGGTGCGAAACAAGGATATCCGAAAGGTAGGATATAGCACAACACCATCTCTTTCTCAAGCCTTACTAACTGGCCTAGTTCCTTGACGGTCTGTACGTCTCCGAGAAGGGCAACATTGTCCAGGACGAATAAGCGCGGATACGGACACGGATCTTGTTTCTTTTGCGTTTCTGGGTCTCAGGAGTGGCGAGGGTTCATCGTTGCATGTCAAGTAGCAAAAAAAGGCTACAAAACAAATTTCAAAAAGCAAAGAGATGATGACTCTGGTGCCGACAAACACTTGAATCTCGCCAACGAATCGAATCGCATCTGTTCATTCGTGTATGTGACCATTTAGGAGCAAAAAAGGGCCGGCTTTTTAGACGAGGGTTCGTTTCGGGTGTTTTGCGATAAAAAGAAAAAAGGCGTTTAATCATTTTTCCAATGCGCATTCTATCTGTGCCTGGGAACTCCCACAACGTTTGGTTTATCGTGAAGTCAGTCCGATAAGACCTATTCTATCCAATTCGATCAATGATAAAATGAGTCAATGCAGTATGATTTCAGAACATAAATCCACGCACACAACATGGTGTTTGTTCACAGGTGGGGCGATTATGGTCAAAAGTTGCATGTGAAAAAATGAGGCTCGCATTTACATCAAGACGTGCCTCGTAAGTATATTCATCTTTGTATCAAACTCGTAATTTTTCTTCTTGACTTTCATTGTGAGTCATTTCATCTAATCTTCCTTTCCATTCCTTCGTGACGTGATCTCTTCGAATAACAAAAAGCAGCAGCATTAACTATCCATGAATGCGTGGGTAAAATAACAACATCAATGATGAAATGGGGTGAATGAGGCAAAATAAAAACCAGAGCCGCAACAGTATCAACAGAATACCATAATATGTGAACAACCAAAAACGCCAGTAGCCTTGATGTGTGAAGCGACAAGTCGAGCGTGTACAATGTGGGCTCGAATCCTTATGTCAAATGCAGAGACATGTACAGGATGGGGAGTATATGTGAGACGAATGGGGATAAAAAGTTGAGAAGTGGGGATTTAAAGGCTTCATCGCCTGCTGTCGCGGGAGTAGTACGACCTCGCTCGGCTGTCTCGTGTGCGACGAGTGCGGTTCGTCCGTCCACCTGAGCTTGAGCTGCCTGCTGTGACTGTTAGTACGATAAAGTCATGCAATGAGTGTCAGAGAGACTTACTGGGACTGGTGTAGTCACTGTATGAGTAGTAAGAGTCGCTATACCGCGATCGTGATGATCCTCGAGATGAGCGCGCGGGCTTGGTGCTCGCAGGTCGCTTATCTTTCTTGAGATTGAGGAGAGCAAGGAGCGTGGCCGCCAGACCCGCGATACCGAGCCACTTCTTGCCATCCGACTTCTTCTCACGACGATCGCCGGCCGACGACGGGGAACCACGACGGCCCATGCCGAACCAGCCCTTGTGTCGAGGACGACGGGAGTGGGCCGAGGCCGAAGGAGGTGGTCGGCTGCCGTGGCGGGAGTATCGCTCCTCGTAGACATCAACGCGCTCGCTCTTCTCCTTGTCCTTCTTGCCAAAGAGAGCAACCCAGAGACCGCGGGCGATACAGCAGAAGCAGAGAAGAAGCAGAAGAGCAACGCCAGCGATAACACCGATGACGATACCAGCAATGGCACCGGCACTCAGACCTCCACCGCCAGTTCCGGTCTCGCCAGCTGCAGCGCCCTCGCTAGTCTCGGTAGCCGTTGCAGAAGCCTCGGATTCAGTCTCAGTTGCAGTCTCGGATTCAGTGGGCGCGCCACTGTTGGTGATAGTGGTGGTACCAGTGACTCGATAAGGAGCCGAGTATTGGGTTGTGATCTTTCCATCGGTGGTGATAACAACAGCGGTGGGCGCCTCGTAACCAGGCTTCGCGGAACATTGACCCATGTATGCGCAAGTCTGCCAGCCAGCGCAGCAGATCTCGCCGCATGCCTCTTGCTCATCGTTCTTGGGCACACAGTCAACGCCCTTTGTAGGCTCCGGGGCAGGTTCCCAACGGGTCATGATTGTGCTGGTATACGTTCTGGTCTCGGTCCAGGTAGTGGTGTACTCGCCAACCCAGCCTCCCTTTGCAGCGACACAGTTCGCGACTCCATTTGATGTTTGGCAGGTCTCGCCGGAGCCACAGCAGTATTGATTATCGGAGCCGCAGGGTGAGTCGCATCCTCGGTGCATGAGATATGAGTAACCGCGATCATGAAGATCATCTCTGGGTAGCGGTTTGGCAGAGCAGAGAGCTGCTGCGGCGAGGAGCAGCAGCGGCCTTGTCACGGAGCGCATTGTAGCGACTTTTCTGGTTGTGATCCTCACTATTTTCTGAAGGTTGATTATTGGCGCAGAGCCGAGGTCGGAATAATATTGTCTGAGGCCAATTCCAATCAGAGCTTGTGCTAGTTTCGAATTGAGATGCGTGCACAAGGTGAGGAGGAATTTGATCTGGATAAAAACCGAGACTGGTTGCGAGATTTATCTGAGTCCCTTGTGAAACAGCTTAGCTTAGCTTCTGGAATGCGGGAGAAGCGGCTGCGTTGTCGCGGGGAAGTATTGTTGGTGCCCGAGATGGAACTGGAGGTGAGTGAAGGTTGCTATGAGATGCGGGTGAGTGAGAGAGTAAGTAAGGTTTGGTGGTGAAGTTTCCAGGAAAATGAAACTTCCAAGAGTAAGTAAGAGATCAATTACAAGCAGGAAAAAAAGAGACGAGAAACGGCAACGTTGAATTCTGGGCGCTGCACCAAGAGTTTTAAGCGGCTGGTGGTGGGCTGCAACGAAAGGCTTCCTCTTGAGTCCCAACCTCCCACTTACAACTATCTCTTTGAGCGGCACAAGGCAACACCAGGTCACTCGCCCCACTTGACCCCACGTACCAGAAGGCTACAGAGGCTTAACATATAGAGGCAGCTATAAGAGCCTGTATTCCTTTGTAGCTTGGCTACTTCTACAAGAGTATAGCCTCTTTTTCTCCTGACTTTAACTGGCTACTAATATTTTATATCTATTCTTACTGGCTGCTGGCCTTTTATATACAAACCGGCCCTGTATTGGCAGAATTAATTTCTCTGATTGGCCTGATATCCCTGTCTTGACCGCTTTGTTGCCTTGTGCCGCTCAAAGAGATAGTCTACACCAGCCTCTCTGATTTACCTAGAAGGGCACTTTGACACACGCACGCGCTCATCCGAAATAAGGGGACCTGATCCACACGCCAGCAAATCAGTCTTTTTAACTCGATGCAACGTTTTAAGGGGGAACACTCAGTCCTGTTCTTGGTGAACTCTCGATCTCTCTTCTTGTCGGTGAGGATGGATGGATGACTCGAGACTCAGAATACGATGCACGTCAATGGTGGGGTGCCAGCTCATGATACCTCCAACGACTACGCCTGTGCTGTGCTTGCTCACTGGACAACTATCAATAGCTGGAGCCCTGGAGCAGTGCTTACCCCTGTAGGCCCGTGTCTGCGGCCCTGGAGCTAGGCCACGTACAGCGGGTAAATGTCATCACCACTTACACGCCCGGGGCACCCCGGAATAGCAGATCACGTATCATGAGAGTGAAGCCGTTTGCATGCTGCATATTTTAATTAAACTGTCAGGGGCAATCGCAACGTCCTTGCAAGCTGAGAACTGTATTTGGCTCTTCCCATTGGCGGTGTTGGAAGGAGTTGAGCCATTAGACAGGGAACGAAACTCGGAGGCTGGGGAGGGCATTTTTCAGGGATTAATTCCAGGTCGGTCTGCGCTTTTGACTCAATCGTGTCGTCAGCTTGGCAGAAGAGAAGAGATGGAACAACAGCCACAGCCATAGCCACATCTCGGATACAGCCACATTTATCCAGCAACTCTAACTTGTGGCGCCAAGTGTGGCAGCTGTGGCTACCCGAGCTCCAAATCCAAGGTTCCGTTAGGTGCTCCAAGCTTGACCTGTGACGCTCCGCGCGGTTCGAGTTCAAGTTGGTTGCATCACCAGCGACTTCAAACTGCCTATCGTCAGCTCCTCCATCATCCTCCATCTCCATCTCGGCTCTCCTCATTCCGACCTCGCCACCTAAATACTTCCCTTGGCTCATCCTACAAATAACCGCTCGCTGCTAGCAGCCGCGACGCTGTAGTCATAGCTAATCATGTCCCTCGACCCGCCAACGTACCTGGCCTCTCTCCAGAGCAACATCCGTCAGCGACCCATTCCCTGGGACGGTGCTGTCAGGGCCGGCACCCTCACCGAGGAGCAATATGCAAAGATTCGAGCTGTAGATAAGGCGAAGAAGCCTGAGCAAAGAAAGGAGATTGTGTCAGGGGATATTGATGGGTATCGCGTCCTGTTTGTTGGCGATGAAGGAAAGACGAGCGTTCTCGAGACGGCGGGAAAGCATGCGAATGTGATCCAGTACATCCTGGTGTTGCTTGGAGATCTTCTTGAGGGTAAGAGCGTCCCTTTTATCTCTATGCGACATGTGGAAGTGGCATTGAGTAGTTCATGTCTATCTATAGAGCGACTTCCGTCATAATCTCCAATCACCAATGCTAACATAATATCCTTTCAGCTGTTCCATCTCTAGCCAAGGCCCTCTTCAAGACAAAGGAGCCTTATCGACATTTTTTGCCTCTACTTAACTCGACTAATGCCGAGGATCCTATTCCATTACTTACTGCGCATGCACTTACCACACTCATGGCTCTTGCTCGAGACGAGTCCCAATCGACCCTCCAGGCTCTGCCTGTGATTCTCACCTACCTCTCCGGCCTGGCCAAGAGTAATGACGCCGGTCTACAAGATATCGCTGTACAGGAGTATTCGTCTCTCCTCTTTGGACATGTCGCAAGAGAGCAGTTCTGGAACCAGCGAAGCGAGACGATTGCGCCCCTTATCAAGATCCTTCAAACTGCAGCTGGTATCGGAAATGGAGGGAGCTCATCTGCTAGTCTCTGGAGCGGCAACACCGGTACCGGATCTACTGGCTTTGGAGGTTCTCTAGGTGGAGGGGTTGGTCTCCAGCTTCTCTACCACGCACTCCTTGTTATCTGGCAGATAAGTTTTGAGGCTGAGGAGATTGGTGATGAGCTCAACGAGTAAGTGAACTGACAAAAAAAAAACGGACTACAACTAATACTGGACCGCAGCGAGTACGACATTGTTCTTCTTTACACTCACCTTCTACGATTATCACCCAAGGAAAAGACAACTCGATTGATTCTTTCTACACTCTACAACCTTCTTGAGAAAAACCAGAAATCACTTCTACCAACCGCGGTTCTTGCTCGCCTTCCCGCTCTTCTTGAGAACATCAGTGGTCGCCATCTGACTGATCCCGACTTGTTGGAGGATCTTTCAAAGCTCAAGGAAATGCTGGAAGAGTACACCAAGACCAAGACCACATTCGATGAATATGTTGCTGAGGTGCAGTCCGGTCACCTTCGATGGTCGCCCCCTCACCGAAACACAGTCTTCTGGGCTGAGAATGCCCGCAAGATCCTCGAGTTTGAGAATGGAGAGATTCCTCGGAAGCTGGCCGAGATCATGCGACAGCCCTGGGATAACGACAAGCAAGTGCTTGCCATTGCCTGTAACGACGTTGGATGTCTGGTGAAGGAGGTTCCCGAGAAGAGATATCAACTAGAGAAGGTTGGACTCAAGAGAAGGATCATGGAACTCATGCAGTCAGATGATGAAAACGTGCGATGGGAGAGTCTCCGAGCCCTCGGAGGCTGGTTGAAGTACAGTTTTGAGCAACAGTGAACTGTCAGAGATCAGTCCTAGAGAAGTATAGTATCTGCTGGAGTGTTTTGTTTATTACGCGGGCGTCTTAATGTCGTCAGTTCTGGCAGGTCCGAGTTCGCAAAGCTTAGAGAATCACAGTAGACGAGCTGAGCTGAGGAGCGGGGACAAGAGAAGCATCAGCTTGTAATGGCATACTTTTTAGTTATTGGTAGTTTGAGCAGCATCACCTCGACTACGATTGTGCGTAAGAATGAAGTGTTAAACAATTGGATCCTATTCCGTGCATTATGTTTCATGCGGTCTTATCAATTATTTATTCTTATCAACATTTGCCGCGCTTCTCTTCCTTCTATACCTCTTGCTTCGGCCCTCGGAGGGCGCTCCGGGGGTCTGCGGGGTCCGGGGTCGGTTTTCGGAGGTAGAGACCGTGGAGAAGCGAATTAGAAACGACGATTTTGATTGTGACTCGGTGAACTTCAGACTCAGTGACTTCAGACTCGGTGACAACCCCACCAGCGCCAATTGTCAAATTGGGTGACTTGTGACTTGCATGATATGTACTGTACATGCCATGTACCAGTCTTAAGCGCCCCTTCGGCTTCTTATCTTCTTGTACAAACTCTTTTCCTCTTAATTAATTTTCTTTGCATCTGATCAATTGACTCTCCTCACTTACTCCTAATATCGTCAATTGAATCCACCATGAAGAGCCTCAGCTTGGCCGCGAGGGCTGGTCCCCGAATCTTATCATCTGCCGTTACACGGCCCACATCATTCGGCGCTCTCAGACTCTCTCAACAAAGCGTACGATGCGCTTCGGGGGGTTCTTCTGATCTGAAGAAGACACCTCTATATGACTTCCATGTCGCCAATGGAGGAAAGCTGGTGCCCTTTGCAGGCTACTCGCTCCCTGTTCAGTACTCAAACCTCTCACTTGCTCAGTCGCATCACTTCACTCGTGAGCATGCCTCACTCTTTGATGTGAGCCACATGGTGCAGCATATCTTCAAGGGCAAGGATGCAGCTGCTTTCCTGGAGAGACTCACACCATCTGATTGGACAAACCAAGGCCTTATGCAGAGCAAGTTGACAACGTTCTTGTGGCCTGGTACTGGAGGTATCGTGGATGATTCGGTTGTTACCAGACTTGGCGAGGATACTTACTACGTCGTCACCAACGGCGCCTGTCTTGACAAGGACACCAAGTATCTTGATGAGGAGCTTGGCAAGTTCGGCGGAGATGTTCAGTGGTCACGTCTCGACAACTCCGGCCTCGTTGCACTCCAGGGCCCTCAGAGTGCCGAGGTTCTCAGCGAAGTTCTCGCCAGCGACGTTGATCTCTCGAAGCTCTACTTTGGTAATGCTGTCTGGGCTGAGCTGAAGCTCGCTGATGGCAGCAAGACTCACCCTGTCCTCATCAGCCGAGGTGGCTACACTGGAGAGGACGGGTTTGAGATTTCATTCAACGGAAAGGAATATCCTGCTTTTGAGACAACAACTCCAGCTATCCAGGCCCTTCTCAGCAAGGCTGGTCCTGAACGTCTACAGCTCGCTGGTCTGGGTGCTCGCGACTCTCTCCGTCTCGAGGCCGGTATGTGTCTGTACGGCCATGATCTCGACGATACCACAACACCTGTCGAGGCTGGTCTAAGCTGGATCATCCCCCCTGCCCGTCGCGAGGCTGGAGGCTTCCACGGTGCCGAAACCATTATCCCTCAACTCACACCGAAGAGCAAGGGCGGCTCAGGCGTCACCCGCCGCCGTATCGGTCTCTTCGTCGATGGAGCTCCCGCTCGTGAGGGTGCCGAGATCCACAAGGACGGTGAGAAGATCGGTGTCATCACAAGTGGTGTTCCCAGCCCTACACTTGGCAGAAACATCGCCATGGGCTACATCAAGAGCGGCAACCAGAAGGCCGGTACCGAGGTGGACGTTGTGGTACGAGGAAAGGCCCGCAAGGGTACAGTCACCAAGATGCCTTTTATCCAGACAAAGTACTGGAAGGGTACTGCGCCTGCTTAGAAAGT